TGTAGATGCCCCGCCACCCGCCCGCACACAGAACCAACCCCCCGCCCACCCGCAGCACCCGCCCGTCACGGTCCCAAGCCCCGCCGACCAGAAGGCCCGCAACCAGAAGGCCTTCCTAGACGACCAGCTCGCGCAGAGGCAGTCTGCAAACCAGAAAAAGAACAAGCGTAGACGCTCCGCTAAGCGCGTCCGGCCCCCAGCGGATCCTTTTGTCCTCACACGCAACGCAGGCCTGATTAAGGATACCTTTCAGGCCTACATGGACGAGATCAGCCGGGAGGACTTGCTCGATCAGACCGAGGTCGCGAGTCTGGCGAAGGAAATTAAGCTCGGTGTCGCAGTTGAGGAGGCTCAACAGAAGATGGAGAGCAGTCTGGGGAGGAGACCGTCTATACCAGAACTGGCGGAGCACCTCACCATACACCCGCAGGAGGTGCAGAAGAGGCGCATGGCGGGCACCGCTGCCAAGAATACCCTCGTCGCCGCCAACCTTAGGCTTGTCACTAGCATTGCGAGGAAGGTCGCCTCTACGAAGAGCACGAAGAGTACGGCGGGCATCGCCTTGGATGACATGGTCCAGGAGGGGAGCGTCGGTCTCATTCGCGCCGCGGAAAAGTTTGATGCCTCCAGGGGTTACCGCTTTTCCACATACGCCACTTGGTGGATACGCGCGTATGTTATGCGCTCTATTACCACGCAGAGCAGGACCATTAAGGTCCCGAGTACTATCGTGGATGAGTATGCTCGCATTCGGAAGCAGTACGCCGTGTTGCAGGCAAATGGCGTTTTCAAGCCCACAGATGACCAGGTCGCGCAGGCACTAGGAATCACCGCGGCCAAGCTGCGCTTTGTCGTCAAGGTCGTCACCCAGGTCCCCACCTCGCTGGATATTAATCTTGACTCGGGAAATAACTCAAGTAACCCGCGTGCTTTGAGCGAGATTGTCGAGGGTGATGACAACGTCGAGGAAAGGATGGTCGAGGATTTGCAGCAGAAAGAGCTCGACAGAGCGCTTCGCAGGTGTCTGCGCCCACTGGAACGTGCCGTCATCCGACTGAGATTCGGTCTCGATGACGGCCAGCCCCGCACCTTGCGCGAGACTGGGCAGCTCTTAGGCCTCTCCAAAGAGAGAATCCGTCAACTCTTGTTCAGAGCCCTCCCGAAAATGAAGACTCCTGAAATCGAGCAAATGCTTATTGACGCGACCGCCCGCTAGAGCGCTATCCTTTCTTGGGTACACGAAGAGAGCCTGAAGAGAGGGCATTTTTGTAACAGTAGTTTCTATGTTATTCAACTTATCGTCGCCGAATTTATAATATGTGGGGTTAGCAGCAGTTGCGCAAGTCAGTTTTTGACTCATTAATACTTACTGTTGGCGTGCATCAGGACTGAAACGCGGTTTTTGCTGATTAGAACGGAAATGGTCTTGACGAGCTCGTAGTGATGGCCGAACACGCCCTGCAATATGTAGAGATCCTAGGATAGCCAGGTCCGCACCCAAGGAATTAGCGAGATCAATAGCTGCTTGAAGCGCCTCGTCTGCATCACCAACAGCCGTCACAGGCGTGTTTCCAGTTTTGCGGATACGCTCTGCGAGATCGTCTGCAGGCATGTACGTTTCGCTGACGCCTGCTGCTGTAGCTACGACGTGTAATGGGCGCGCATCATGCAGGAGCTGGCCTATTGCTTCAACATCCTTGTCTACCCCTGATCCATACAATATCACCCGTGGCCTTCCCGACGACGATTCTCGCAACACCATTTCGACGCTTTCCGGAACATGTGCGCCATCAAGCAAAACACGAACCGGTGTGTCTGTCTCACCTGCACCACTCGCAACTGTAAACATCTCTTGTCGCGCGGGAAGATTGCTCATGGCCTCCTCCGCCAGAGACTTGGGCAAAAGGTCGTTATCTGCCATGCCTGCAACCCCTTCCCTCCTCGCGACTGCTTGCACGGCTGCTCTGGACAGCATCAAATTGTGCTCGAACAATGAGTGACCCGCCTCAGGCGCGCAAAACTGTATCGTAGCAGGTGGTGATTTTGACGCTGCCTCCTGCACGAATATATTTGCCAGTTCATGGCCGCGGCTCATCCCGCAGACAACGTGCGCTCCCGGCGCAATGATGCCGGCTTTCTCATACGCAATGTCCTTACGAGTCGGCCCAATGATCTCCTTGTGTTCTAGATGGACGTTTGTAATGACAGCCACGGGGGCATCGAGCACGTTTGTCGAATCCAGCCTCCCGCCCAAGCCGACTTCGATGACGGCCCATCTAGCTTGTATACGTTTAAACTCAAGCATAGCGGATGCACACACGACGTCGAACACGGTTGCCGCTCGGACCTCTGGCTCCTGCTCTCTCACGTCCAAAACCTGTCCCAAGGCGTTCGCGAGATCGTCGTCCGGGATGGAACGGCCGTTGATCCGGATGCGCTCGTTGAACCTTTCGACATGCGGTGATCCATACGTACCGACAGTGGAAACGAAGAGCGGTGCGTGGAGCAATGCGGCAGTTACCATGGTTGCAACGGAGCCCTTTCCTTTCGAACCCGTTACGTGGACGGCAGAAAAAGCCTTCTGTGGCGATGAAAGACGTGAGAGGAGCTCGGCTGCTGGCTCCGACGAGATGCGATTCGCTCGCATTCCTCCACGCCCATCTCGGAGTCTGCGCTCCCAATTTATGAGAGCTGCTAAACGCTCGAGCGCAGACGTCAGTTTGGGGCTGTACAGCGGCATGGAAGAGTCATGTGGCAAAAACGAAGTGTGAAGCCCCCTTTTCATGTTGCGGTACATAAGAGGGGGCGAGGAAACAAGCGTTGCAACAAGTAAAATACAAGCACGAAGTGCGCCTGTGGAAGAGCTGGTTGTCGATAAACTGCCTGACTACATGCAAGTGTCTCTGCGTCCTTACAATCTTCCAGAAGACATGCCGGGACCTCGCTATTCGGGCGGCACTTGATATGTCACTCTCGAAGAGATGTTTCTTCGAAGAGAGCAGCACCAGCCCCGCAGTTGCTTACAAGTCTCCGGTTGTCGTCTTCCCCAGCACGCACAATGGTCTCTACCGTACAATACGAAGAGGGTGCTCTTGTTGAGGTTTATGAATGGCCTATTTCGACCCCCTTAATATTTTCCAAATTATTCGCTTCAAAAATAAATCAAGCCTATTTCCGCAGATATACCTTTGATCTGAGATCTTGCTTACGATAGCCACACTAACACAGCACAGTGGACCCCATCGAGTAGTGCCCGTTCGCGTGCATGCTCGACATCCAGCACTAAAGAGAGGTGGCGCTACTGAATGATTGCCTGCCAGGTCCCATCCTGGAAGAAGTCGCGGGGAGAAGTAGGGAAAGAGGATGGAGAGGTCGAGAAAGAGGCCGCAGAAGGGCGTGCGATTAGTTAAGGATGACCAGCTTGGTCAGCCCCAGTCGGCGTTGCAGTTTTTCATTCCCGCCAAGGGAGACAGTGATCAGAGGTCGTGCGTGTGTGTGTGCGCGCCCACAACATTCGACACGTGTTACAGTACGTGTACAATCTGTGCGTACGCCTTGAGTCGGCACTACATGCACGGTGGCACAATTGATTACGGCACTATTGCACTATTTGCCGTACTGCCTCTTGATCCAAAAAGCCCTGAGATGCAGGACGAATGTGATCACCATGCAAAAACGTGAGGCATTCAACACGCATTGCCTTTGAAATAAATCATTACGCCTCTGTCCATCTGACTGCACTTTGGGTTGTGAGCGGAAGCGGGCTGCCATCTGACACTCATGGATCTAGCTGCCCTTTGCGGCTACTTTTGTTGTGGTTGTGGCATAGCTTGCCTGCTTTCCGTAGCATTGTACTTGACCCCGATTATCTACTTGACGTTGATCGCCAAACCGCAGGATTTTCGAAAGAAATATGGTGCTTGGGCCGTGGTCACTGGTGGCTCAAGCGGAATTGGAAAGGCTGTCACTCGAAAACTCGCTTCACAGGTATGTGCTACAATGTGCAGGTTGGGGCCGCAATCGTAATCTATGCACACTTCTTTCTCTAATCATGTTGCTAAGCCATATGTAATCCTATTCTTCATACCACCCCTTACTATATCTAAAAGGGAGTCAATGTTTGCATTGTCGCGCTTGACGATGACTTGCTGCGAATTACCCACACCGAACTGCAAAAAGAATTTCCGTCAGTTGAGCTGCGCGCTGTTCCCGTCGATCTAGGTTCGGAACCAGATGCATACATGGCGAAGATCGCCACCGCAACGGAAGACGTGCGAGTATCAATCCTCATTAATAACGCCGGGTTCCTACTCATGGGCTTTTTCGACCAGCGGCCAATGGAACAACACATCGCAAACATCGAATGCAACGCCCTCGCCGCCATGCGTCTCACCCATTATTTCTACAACCGAATGGTCAACCAAAATATCAAAGGCTGCATCACTTTCACATCCTCTGCCGCTTTCTTCATGGTAAGATTCGCTGATATCCCTCTATCTTCGTTTTGATTTCTTGGATATGCCATCACGCGATAACGTATGCATGTCCGCTTACCCTTGAATAATTCTTTTTATTGTTTGACAGCCCGCTCCTTTCGCATCGATGTACGGCGCAACGAAAGCAATGATATCGCAGTTTGCGGTATCACTAGCACTTGAAGCAAACTCTCAGGGAATTGATATCACTGTGTTTCACCCATCTTACACTCACAGCAACCTGTACGCAAAAACCCCGAAACTTGATGTAGTTACATTTCTTTCAAAGTTTGGCTGGACACCCGAGGACGTGGCCAATGTAATTTTCGCGAGCGCAGGAAGAGTTGTAGTCCGAGACATGGGCGTGTACGCAATCGCCACGAATATGTTGTCCAGATATATTGACTCTGGGTCTTTAGCGAAGTTCATAATGCCGTTCGTAGAGTCAATGGCTCCACCCGGGGCGATTGCAGAGAGAGGCAAGAAAGAGAATTAGACTGTGGCCTCAGGTGTCGGCAAGCGCGCGCGTTTAGAGTTCTGAAGATCTTGACAGAACTCTAAAACAAACGTGATGAACCTATGCATATAGAGCGCGCGCCCGGAGTTTTGGACTCGGTGTCTCGAAGTGTTCCCCATCGTGAAATGACCATGTTTGGTCTGAATTCAGTTGTCTCCGCACTTCACACAGCAACTCCAAAACACAGAAACAAGAATATGCGACACCCCTCCATCGCTGGACATTTTTGGCCTCCAATCTTGGTGTGCGATTGGAATATCCTGGGTTGAACCCTGTTCTTTTTCTTCTTCAAATTTGAAGACCAGACTGAAGTGCACTTTGAGTGCACTTTGCGAGTGATGCAAATTAGGATTCCACGAACTTCACTGCAGTGCTTTTCTCATGATGTACAATACACTAACGATGGTATTCTTCGGGGTATCTTCAAGTTTGAAAACTATTTTTTGGCCCGATAAAGAAAAGCTGTTTACTCTTGCGGTTCTGTGATGTGTTAGCTTCTAAGCCAAAAATAATCCCGTTCTCTTGGACCGATTGGTACTGCGTGTTTTCAATCAGCTTGACGAGAACATGCAAGGGCGTAATAATAGTGCTTTCTCAATGTAAACATGCGATGTATTTTCGATGGATTCCCGGGGGTCGTGGTTGAAAAGCAGGCTACCAAGTTACACAAAGCGATATTGTTCTGCCTTAGCAGATCTACAGGATCTGCTTTTCATCAATGTCTCTGATGCTTCCAAGGTCGCATTCGTCCTTTTCATGGAATGATGCTCGCTGGTGCGTCCCGTCTCGGACCCGACTGAAGAGAATCATCAAAGAGAAACTATTGCGCTACATCGACCCTCGACATGCGATATTTTCAGTTCTTGTTGTCGTAACCCTGTGTGCTTTTACCCTCTCACAAGACATGCACGACTGGGTGTTCCAAACAAAATTTGACGATAATGCTGACATGGACCTTATAGCTGTGCAGGATGCAGCGTACGTCCGTCAAAAGCAAAACGAATCAGGCGCATACTTTGGAGATCCTCTCCGACTCTTGAATGCTTCAGATGTCCGGCAACATAGGCTTGCATGGGACTACATCTATGGAAGCCTTCGGCGAAATCCAAACCCCCCTGCTCTCACCAAATATAAGAAGAGACTACTACGTGAGCTATACGCCAAGACCCACTACAAGGTCGTGAACAAGTTTTCACCGTCTCTGGACGTCTCATGCAACTACATGAATGATATCAATGACACTGGGTCGCTGTTTTCCTTTAGATGCTCAGACACGTCACATCGCTGCCCTGATGGCAACTTCTCGCTTCAACCCGCCTTCGTTCCGAAAGAAGGCTCGTCCGTCACTTGGAGCAACATCGTAATCGTTTTGATGGTTTCAGCTGGCCGCGAAACATATTTAGATGCATGTGCTGAGACGTGGATATCTCGCCTTCACCCGGAAGCGACACTATTCTTTGGTCGGGACGGGGAGGACCCGCCCCTTCCGCACTCTGTCATGAATCGACAAAATACTCATGTTTACGCTTACGAGGGTCCGCCCGGTCTAGACGGATTGGATGTTAAAGCATTCATGGTTTGGCGTGAAGTTTATAGGAGATTTGCGACAGAAGGGAAGAAATACTTCTTGAAAGTAGATGATGACGCTTTCCTCGTTGGTCATAACCTCGTAAGGTTTCTGAACAAGATGGAGCATTGGATGAGTGGCGTCGAACAATCACTATACTTCGGTCATCCCTTTTGCGGTCATGGCGATCTGGAGGCGCTCGGGTTTGCGACTTGGTGTTACGCAGGAGGTGGGGCTTACGGATTAAGCCTTGAAGCGCTTCAAAATCTACTATCTCAGATCAGAGACGGTTGCGCGTACTTCTACGACTACCTTGCGAATGCCCCAGGGCTGCGTCCTGTCAATGACAGGTATGGCGGCCGATATGAAGATGTAATGGTTGGGAGATGTTTACGACAGGCTCGCACTAGAAATCAGCTTCGCGGGACGTCCTTGCTCGCATGTGGGAGCTTCATCCCATACGCTCCACTTCACTACTATGAGCAATTTGGAATGAGCAAAGAGGCTATGTCCAAAAAGCTTGACGGGGACATCATCACAATTCACAGTCTTGAGCCTTCAGCTATCCGATACCTGGACCACATGGTGTTTGAGTACCCCTTGAATGGAGACGTATCGCCGTTTTCTGCATCGAATAAGAGGGTCCAAGAGCTTATCGATGTCTGTAAAATGAATGGCAAAAAGATGGCCTGTGATCTTTCGAGTGTCTCTATTCGTTGACATTGATTACTCGCTACCTTGAATTCTGGCGGCAAACGGCGAGAAACGTTTTCTTAATCTTGTGCACATATCTATGCAAGAGGTCTAAGACAACCAATATCCATGGAATTATAATTTTCTTTCTTTACCGCGAGCTTTGACAGACTCAGGCCAAGTGGAAGCGTCACTCTAGTGCTCCGTGCACTTTCAGGAGGCTAAAGGTGGAATGAGAATGCCGAGGTGAGCTGATTACATTCAAAATCCATATTTATCTTCAAAGTACTCATCCGAGAACTTTTCTACACCCTCATCCTCGTCATCCTCTTCCTCCACATTTGCTACGTCGTCAGGGGATTTATTATTATCGTTTAGGATGTCTGCAGAAGAATCACTTTCCGCAGAATTGACTTGCACATGTACAGATCCAGTCGAACTCGAACCACTCGAAGTCTTGAGTTGTGTCGCTCTCTCTACGTCACTACTCCTTGCAAGTGCAGAGGCCGCGTGAGACTCTGCCGCTATTTTCTCTGCGATTTCCTCATCTCCCAGATAGAGTAATCTTAAACCAATCCGATTCTCAGCAACGCTAAGCACCTCGGTGGTTACTTGATCGCCAATATTAATCACTTCTTTCCAATCGGACCTGTGCAAGTCTCCCATTTCCGAATAGTGAATTAGGCCGTCTGTTTTCACCCCAAAGTCAACGAACAAGCCGAACTTGACGGTTTCTCTCACTCTACCCACCCTCCGTTCCCCTACTACGACACTCTCTGCTGGAGGACGCCTTAATCTTCGTCGTGCGTTCCGCCGCTTCTCAGCTCTCTCCGTTTCAAGCGCAGCCACGTCCACAGGCGCAGCACTCAGCTCAAAAAACCCGTTCATGGGGGTCACCGCACGAACACGAACGTCCACGTGGTCCCCAACCCTAATTACTCGCTCAACGTCATCTCTTTGAAGAGCGTCTGCTTCGCTAGCCCATTCTCTCTTGAAGAATTTCCGCGGTAGGAAGCCCGTCCGGGGAACGACGCGACCGCGTCTTGCCCTCCGAAAAACAGCCACGTCCAACACGGCACCATAGGAACCGACGGCAACGACTTCTCCAGCTAGCTCCTCTCCAACCTTCAAATCATCTATCAATCGTACGACATCCTTTTCCAGCTCACGACGTACAGTCGGGGGTGTTCCTTTCCGTACTTCTATCCGTGCGGCTGGATGATTGACCCTATGCACGTAGACAGGAACGACAGCTCCAACTTTCCTCTCTGCGCTGTCTTCGTTGGGACTCCGCAAACGTAGTCTTGCACGAACCGCCTTCCCAGTGATTGTACGTACTCCAACGTCGAGCCAACTGCTCTCTGCGGGCCCAACGTCGCGAACAATGCCAAAGAGCTGTTCACCAATTGAAATTTCGGAAATTGGGCGAGAATCGGGGGGGGCCTTTGACCGTGTCCATCTCTTCTTCTTGCGTGATGTACTCGGTTTCGCTTGGGCTTTTTCTTCTGGCTTGCTAGAACATCTGAAGGCAGCTCTTCTGCATATTCCGTCTCGCGGTGCTGTCAAAAACACAGTAGGCACGAAGAGGGCCACGCGACTCACGTTACTGCCGCTCATAACGGCACGAGCAGCTCAGAGGTGTGTCCGTGCACCATTCCAGTTCAAGACAGCATCCCCGCAGTACCCTTGGTACTGTACATCCAAAGCAAATTGCGGTCATGTGAACCTGTCCTGGTTGAGAGGACTGTCTTGTAGGGTTGTATTTTTGAAAAAATTCCCAGACGAATTCCTTCACCGGGATCAACGCCAGCTCGTAGTTAAGATCACAGGTCAAATTCCAGCTTCTTCCAACTCCCCGAGCGTCCCTGGGAAAGCGACCTTAACATTCTCCGCGATCACGACAGAGGTGCCTTCGTTGGATACTTTTGCGTGCTAAGTGATACAGTATACCTGCAATAATCCCCGGTGGCCTGACCGGTCAGTAGCTGTACTTAACCTTGCGGATTGCATCAAACGGTCTCGGCTGCCGGCGGATTCATGCGGTTGTTGCATTGAAGGTCAGAATTGAACAAATTACGCTTCTGCAATATTTCTAACATCGAGTTACCCTGACACGATTGCACAAGTGGGAGAATCATGAGGCGCTAAGACCACGACCACATACGGCAAACGAGCAGCACTCACGCTGCGGTCTATTGCACACGCAGTCTTTTGACTGTATCAGATATGCTTACATTTTCAGCTCTTCCCGCTGCATTTAAAGCCACCGCTGCCCGACAGACCCAAGCCAATTTGCTCACTTCCCTGCGACACGGTTACAGAGGACTGCCTATCCAGATGAGTGCATCCACCAAGCAAGATAGAAGCACTCCCCAGACAATCGACGTGGCTGGGTATCAAATATACGGCGTTTCAGTTGCGGCTATGGAAACATGTATATGCATTCCATCTCTGTCGTTAGCGTTCGATTCTGGTCGTTGTCCCCCTCGTGCGGTATCCATGAAGTTTATGGCCATAACCCATGGCCATTGCGACCATGTGCACGGTCTTCCGTTGCATCTAGCCACAAGATCATTGCAAAAATTACCCACGCCCACGTACTTTGTGCCTCCGGAAATAGTACCAGATGTCAAAAATTTAGTCAGTGCCGTCGCGAAACTGGAACAATCCCATTTTGAGTTCGTGGTCGAAGGACTGAGTCCGTCACATCCTCCAGTTGAGTTCAAGAAAGGATGGCTTCTGAAATCTTTTCCAACGACGCACCCTGTTCCCTCCCAGGGATACATTGTGATTAAGAAGAAAAAGAAACTGAAACAGAAATATATTGGCACTCCGGGGCCTGAACTGGTCAAGATGCGAAAGGCCGGAACCGAAATTGAGGACAACATAGCAAGCCCGGAAATATGCTTTACTGGTGACACGTCTCTAGACGCAATTGCGAAGTCGGATGACTGCAGAAGGGCGCGGGTCCTCATCACTGAAATGACGTTCCTTGATGATTTTTGCTCGCCCGAACACGCAGAAAATTGTGGTCACATCCACATAGATCAGGTAATTGAAAACAGTAACCTGTTTGACGAAAATGAGTCCGTAGTCTTCACCCATTTTAGTGCTAGGTACTCAAAAGCGGGCATTCGCAGAGCTCTCTGGAAACTGCCGGAAGGTTTGCGCCAGAAAAGCATTGCCTTTGGAGCTTGAGATACTGCAGGCATGGGGCAAATTCATGATGAGGATACGTATACGGGGTAAAGAGATAGTACAGTATGCAGCACCCTTGTGGGCATGGGCTCGGTTGTATTATCAGCCCGCAGCGCTTCAGGTGTTAATCAGGACTCAGCTCAGAGATCTGGCCGCTTTCTCGAGACCACGCCGAACAGCACAGTCTATATGCAGTGTCTCAGACATTCTCACTACTTTGGTAATTCCATCTTCGTCCTTTTCATGAGAAACAGGGATATGAAAAAGACTCTAAAGTATAAATATATGTGTAGATATATTTGAGTGATGGCATCATATACATATGATGTCATCACTCTATGAAGTACCATACAGTGAAATGCCATTGAGTGATGTCATCAGTCAAAGACATTTCATGGCTCCAACAAAACTGCCCTCACAGACTTTGCATCGCATTGAAAAAAACTATTTCCATTCAGAACACCAACTCTTCGACGTAAATAGTAGTTTCAAGACCATACTATTCATTCAACGTAAAACATAAAACGGAAGCTCTTAATTGCATCTTCTTTTCGTTGTTAACTCAGGACACCACTCTTTGCGGTTCACTTCAGAAGGCTTCGCAGGACTCAACCACCCCAACCAGGCTTCATTGCGGATTCCTCGCAAGTAATCCGTTTGGCTGACGTGCTCGAAAACTCTCGCTGCTGAATGCCTATGGTTGACAACAAGTTTCAAATATAAAACGTTCATTGCATCAGTCGAATGGATAGGCACACGATATTTTTTATGAAAATATGAAATCGCCGCAGCCGAATTGTTTGGGTTCATCATGTACAGGTCTATCGACAATGGTTCGCAATATTGACATAGAAAATATGTTGACCATGCTATAAACGGTAGTCCACCACTCCTTCGCAATATTTTCGCAGGGTTGTCTCACAGTTCGGACCACTCTCACCCAGCACTTGGTGATACAGTGCCTCCTACGATATGGTGCTATAGCGTGACATACCTCTAGCTATGGCACTATTGGGGGGATGGCACTATATAAAGGAGGCTCATATACATATATTTGGGGACAAAGCACACTGCTATCACAAACACAACAAAGCCTGTATAACACAACTAAATAACTTCATCCTTTGGGTACTGAACCATGCCGGATGATACACGTGTGAGCTTATGATAACCTGTGCCAGAGGGTGAGCCATAGCACTATATAGAGGGAAGCACTACTAAAGTAGGCACTATTGAGCGACCCCCCCCTGTACCCGCAAAATAAAAAGCAAACGCTTTTAATGTTAAGTGATAGTTAAACGTATATAATGACATGACACACGATGTCGAGGTGAGCATTTTATCTCACTACTGAGAAGATACGTGCATTGATGGATTTCCAGGATAAAGTCTCTACATGCAGTCCGCAACATATGAAGAGAACAGCGTAGCATGTATTCGCCACAGAGAATAATCTAGCGTAGTTTATATGACTGTGTGCACGTGGCAAGAATTAACACATCTCATCTAAAACGAGGAATCTTCACGTTTGAATCAATCAAGTTTGAAGAAAAAGTTTTTGCCTACCCAGGATGCTCATGAACAATACTGTACGTATGTTAAACACCGAAACAGCGACTTCAACTGCGATGCTTCGTATATCACATCGGAAGCTAGAAAACCGAGAGAAATCATGAAGATTGACTATTTCATGTGTTCGTCGCGATCGGTCGGGGAACAACACCTCCATCAGACAAGTTTGATACAACTGATACAACAAAGACAGCGCCACCGCGACAGAGCGTTTCTCTCTTACCAGCTGCATTCAACACAAGAGCAGGGCCCCAGAAAGTGGATTTTGCTGTACATGAGTGATGTTTCGATCACAATAGTAGTTTATGATCATCAGGCTATTCCTCTACAACACGTAGAAGCTGTAAGTACGAATAGCTTTTTTTGTGTTTTTCTCACGTGACACGAAGCATTCGGGAAACCATAACCAGCTAAACTTTTCTGACACCTAGTTCAGTTTCTGAAAGAGAGCAGTTGAAGTACAGAGTAAAGCCTCGATAAGCTATGTACCTGATAGGATGAACTGTCCCGGTGCAGTGAACCGAAAGGCTGTGAGGCAGGCGCCACTCCGCTTTTTGGCCTAGAAACGACGGTTTCGTATTTCTAAGGTGAACCAGACTCGCTAGAATGAATTACGTGATATAATGAACAGAAAAAGCATGAAAAAAACAAGAGTTCACTTTGTCGGGGCCGAAATGCACACTAGAAACTAACCATCAACGACTACAGAAGCTATCAATACGTCTTTGCTTGCTATGAAAATAGAGGGAAGGCCCATTCACAACGGGAAGAGTTCTGGATGTCCGAATGCGCCCGTCGACGTCGCCCGTCGACACACAGGGTCAAAGCAAGTCAAAGCAAGTGACGTTGTGTGCCTTGCTGTACCTGTACGAAGGCTACACGTGTACATGAGCAGCTCCGCCACTGTTCACATGAACTGGCTCGGTAAGGCGACCTCAGTGGGTTGCTCGGAAGCGCCACATTTCGGTTCACCATATCGAGACTTTACTCTGTACACTGTTTAAGAATGAAAGAAAAGAGAGAGGCAGAATGCCTTGACATGCTGCTCGTTGGGTTACTCGCAATCACAGTCACGCAACTTCCTCATGCGTTCGTCTGCATCCTGCCCGTTTGACCAAAACATGAGAGTTAGCACAAAAGATTTAATAAATCTACTACAGTAATGATAATATATCTACAAGATATCGTCAGTGGCGTAGGATTCCGTTCCAGGGTTCAGGGGGTGTTGGACGTCTTCCCCTCGAAGAGTGGCCGTGCATTGAAAATAACTTCGTCGTACTACACAGTCAGTGGTGGTCCTCGCGGGCGACTCACCATTGCCACCAGTGACGTCATCCGCAAAGAACAAGTTATTTCCGGCGCTATTGTTGAGTAGGACTTTGCGGTGTTCGAAAAACATTCAATTTGGCTGGCTTTCGTCATTCTTGTGAGTTGGTATTATGAGACATCACAGCCTACATCAAAAGCTCAGTGTCTCCCCTCTCACAGCTTCGTTGCCTTTCTACTCTGGCCAATGACCAGTGAATATGTATAATAGTAATGAGAAGATGAATGTGCACCGGTTCCGGAGTTAAGTTACACCTCACAGTGTTGAATGTTGGATTTTTTAGATAGTGTCTGACCTCAGTAGCCTATGTTGCGTCACACGCAGGTTTCCAGTGGTGGTGATCGTCGGGGTGCTTTGGCACTGACTCTTTTAGCTGAAAAAGCTTTTAAAAAGTGCTGCCTGGAGGCAGTGATGCAGCTTCGGACACGCTATTGCACAGAGCCTCTACTTTTACACAGTTTTCTAGCACTGGTCGTCGTAACCTCTTTTCTAGGTACGTGTATAACATGTAGTGTACACATATGTTTCGCCGTCTCTACAATCCGAAGCATTGCTGGATCAAAAGCTAATGCATTACGACAGCTTGTACTCAGGTTTCTTTACCCTGAGATTCCCTGATCCGGGATCTTATGTCATTCAATTGCTTTGCTTGAGGGTCTCAAGTCTCATGTGAATAGCTGTCAGATGCAATTGATGGGCCTCATGTATGAGCAGTTTGTGTACTTGTGAATGACTCTCCAGGAATCTTTGAGACAACTGAAATCTGTCTGCATTGTTGTTGGGTTCAGGTATTTGGTAGCGCGGCCATAGATGTTCTTTTGGTACTCTACATTCCCGTTTCGTGCACTCCCGTGCGTTCTTCAGACAGAGAGAGCTTCCCTTTCCACCAACAATGCCCCAATGCGTGAAGTTGTAGAATGCAGCTACATAAAAGTTCGTTCATTCCCAGGTCAAAACACCGTACAACTACACAACTCTTTACAGGTAGGATATATGAGACGTTAATGTCTCAAATAAAAAAACATCATCTTGGAACATTGGGACCTGTTTTGCGACAACAGTTCTTTCAGAGGTAAATGGTGTGTTTCAAAAGTGCTCTCTCTTTCCCTATATAGCTGCTCTCCACAATGCAAGGAATGCTACCTCTCTCCATCATCTCTCCATCATCTGACAATCATTCGCCGAAGAAACCAACAGTCCATATATACAACCAACGGAAAGACGGACAGGAGAATCGTTTCAATTTCCAGAAATGAGGAAGCAGTCTTTTTCCACAAACAACGACACTAAGAAAGACACGAAGACGAAGAAGCCAAAGCCGAAACCAGAGAGGCCTATTCAAGCAGCTAGGTGCTGAGTGATGCGAAATGGAAAAGAGCCCTTGCTGGTCACAAATGAAAATTCCAAGAACGGCCCCCTTGCTATCTCAGCGGAATGCAGGCACGCCCTCACTGTACTGACATCCATGCATGCTGCCATGGAGTTCAAGAAAGCGATGCTCGCATATCAATCCCAGGATGCTATAGAGCGACGTCACGATTCACAACTACACTGCTGTCAACAACGTTTTACAAAGCCCTCCATTGGGCATGGTTGAAATAACGATTTACCAATAGGTACCTATAGTACCTGCACTTCAAGGTCTGAAAATATTCTCATGGTTTGTACTATGTAAAGCGAGGTACGGCAGTGTTGGGGTGATTGCAACAAACTAGTTTGCGACAATTTAGTTTTAAACCCAAAGCTAGTATCGAGAATCATTGTAAAAGGGCTTCAAAAACTTCAGATTCGTGTAAGACCGATTGACTGAGAAGTTGGTCAGGAAAATGCGGACGTCAAGGATGCTAGGATTTGTTTCAATGTTCGGAGTGGGACTTCCATGACTGCATTGTCACGATGAGACCTTCCACGCTTCTCTGATACGACCTTTTTGACAATTTTTTCCCACACTGGAACTGGTTTCAGGTCTCTTTCCGCGTCGGCAGATGCTCGCACCCGAAAAGCATCCATGATCAATATCCTCTGGGCCCCATACCTCGCGTCTATCTCAATACAGCAAAACTGTCCCCAAGCTGAAAGCTGTCCCCGAGCTAAACTATAAAGTACTTTCACCTTCAAGGCAGTGAAAAAATATACCTTCATAGACTCTGGTAAACGCCGTGTCGCCTCTTGCAAGGCGAGACCAAGTGGCAAAGAAGCTTCGAGTAGTCTCGCAAGAGTTCGCCCCGCATCCATCTCTGATGCCTCCATCACTTCTTCCATCAATGGAAACAAATTCTTTGATATAACTGGTTGCGGGGGCAAAATTCCCAGCTGAAAGGATTTGCTTCGCACCCCCACGGTGAGTCGAAATTTTGATACGTCAATCGCCACAAAGGATGGCCCCCGTCGAACAATTGAGCAAACCTCAACCCCAGCTGACAGCCCTTTGATTAACGCAGCTGATTTCGTTGCCCTTTCAAAATCGCTGAAAAACCTCTTTAAGGTTGTAGTCGAGGACACGTCATATGAAAAAAGTAAGAGGCGTTTCGCCGGAAAGTACGATACTGTTTGTCCTCGCAGGTTAGTTGCATCGAATATATCGTTAGTAAGTGTTAGTCGTATCTGCCATCCTTCGTTGCCTTTAATGATAAGGGCGGCACTCTCAACTTCTAGTGACGACGGTTTCATTTTGATCGGTGACCGGTACGGAGAACGAAGAGAGAAATCCCCGTCAATGACGTCTGCGTAATTCTTGACCTCTCTCAAGATGTTATCCCGCCGCATTCGCACTTCTGTTGCATGCCGAACCTCAGCCAATATGGCCATACGGTTGGCATCACTGCAGATTTCGTTGGACCGATCGGGTTGGCCCACTCCTTCCGGTCTCCGACCTTCAATGAACGCTTGATTCTCTGAAGAAGAAATGGTGAAATGCATCGGTAACGATCTCGCGCGTTTAGTAGCGGTTAAACCGGGCATGCAGTACACTTCGTCGTCTTCGCTAGCCATGGAACAGAGAGTCAGGAACCGTCTCGGTCGTTTTCTATCAACTGGCATAAATGGCGGGCGAATCATCCTTCCCGCATTGGATTTTTCCGGCTTTTCGACGAACGAGTCTCCAGGAGGCCACGTCGGAATGAAACCGACCCCGATCGCACAGCTGCCCTCCAACGACGAGTTAAGGCGAACCAAACTCAATGCTTTCTCTATGATGTCGACTGCCACGCGGCACATTGTAGGCAAACCGCTCTTGGCGAAAAAGCGTTCCCCGACCCAAAGAAGATTTCGAAACTCAGACGCGAAAGAGTGCGCCCTGGACTGCGCGAGAGCGACCGCGCCGTGCAAACGAACGAACAAACCTCCCGTCTTGTGCGAAATTCCAAAAGAAAGGCTTGGTCTCGGACGAGCAAAGTAAACATCCAGTGAAGACGATGTATAGCCCGCCGCAATTTTCATTTGAATGGAAGACGGGATGGATAAACGGCACAGCTTCTCTAGTTCTTTCACTTCGTGCTGTGCTCGATGTCGACAAGTTTCGAGTAGGTACCGCTCGGCATGAATCCTCCTGATTTCGAGCTTCGGGTGAGTTCTTCCTGGTAGCGGCGGACTATGCGAAATCTGGAGGATCCCGCCTATAGCATCACTGAGACGCTCTTGGCTCGGCAATCGGAACGCTACTTCCGCTTTTCGATGTGATTTTTGCCAGTACCGGACCCGCACGGGCATGTCGTCTTTTGCTTCAGACCCTACCCCCGATAGTGCGAGCTTGGCAATCTTCCACGAGGTGTGCTGTGTAAGGGCAGAGAGTTGTGTCCTTACATGTTCGATTGCAATTTTGGCGGCGCATTCGAGGCTCAATATACTGGATAGACAAAGAAGAGCGCTCTTCATGCGACTGGCTTTATCGACAGCTTCTGTGTCTCTCATGGTCCACTGCATGCGATCACTAATCATTTGACGCAGGGGCTCCCTCTGTTCGGTGCGCAACCTCATAGGCTCATCGCGAACTCGCCATGGGGTGTTGAGTACACTCTGGGCATCTGGATGCCCCCCGACGAGGATTTCAAATCGCAACAGGATCAACAACGCGTCTTCGAGGCTCAAGCGATCCAAAATTACGTCTGCAGTCCAGGATCCTGGGACACCGATGCGAACCGCAGCGTTCTTCGGATCGACGCGTGAGTTTATCACTTTAACACCGGTCGGCATAGAGTTCCTGACCGCGCAAAATGTGGAGACCTGCAGACGCTCGGTTGCCTCGTCTTCTAAGCTGCTTGAACGAGATGGCGGATTTTTAGCAGAGTCTTCAACGTCGTGAATGTGGGCGCTTGCATCGATTCCAATTGCTTTCTCAATAACCCTTGGGTAGCGGGCAAAAAACGACGATGAGCCAAGAATTTCTGCGGCCTCCGCAATTGCGGAGGGATGGGCAACCGCACCCTTGACAAATCCGGAAACTCGCCAGAGGATATCTGCATTCTCCGTTAGTACGCCGCTGCGCGTGGTTGCCATTCGCTTGGTGACTTGGGCAGAGCCGTGGAATGCGGAATACATCATGAACCATCGAACTGCGACCAAAAGACGAGTGAAGCGATGGCGTACGCTCAGGGTGAAGTCAACAAGTTTCTCGCGACGGGCCTCTGGCGGAAGATCGGTGAGGGAATCAAGCAAAGCATGCATTTCTTTGTAGGTGTTTTGCACGACGTCATTCGCAAGTCGTGACAGGGCAACATCCTCGGGAGGAACTTGCATGGTTTTGTGCGTCTCGCAAGGTGTGCTTTAGCTCGAGCCAGAGGATGGATCTTGCGAGACAATGTGTAACGGCGGTCAAATTCAGAATGTATGCAAACGGAGGAAGGCGGTAGAGTTTCGAGTCTGCGACACGTTCAGCTGCAGCCGACCAAACGTGAATCGCAGGGATAGTCATGTGCCGGATGATTTCATATCGATGTATCGCTGAGGAGCTTGGGCGACCTTTGAATGAGTGAGATTGAGAGCGGTAAATGTGTTTGCGTCAAAAGGCGGTAGGGAGGTCTTCAACGGTAGCATAAATCAAAGAAATGGTACAGGGCGTGTTCTCAAGATGGCAGGCAACACACTGCACAAGGCGGGAAAACAAGGAAAAATAGAAAAATATTGATACACGTGTACTATACTTTCTAGCCTTCTCCGTACTGCAGAAGGTACTCGCCCTGTAAGATACAAGCCATGCCGTTTAATTGAAATGGACAGAAACAAATTACACTCCCAGATGTGCAGTTCTAATCGTACGTGCCCGTACAGTACAGCGTATGAAATGCTATGAGACGTGTACACGTTATGACATTGCGGAAGGGTTATTCAAATATTTTAATAATATTTTGTATCAAAACTGAAGAACTGCGGGCAGCACCTGCCGATGCGGGACCCGCATCCATTGGATATATTCCAGGCTGGGCGGCGGAGAGAAGGGTTTCATGGCGTCGATTCTACCAATCATTTTGCGAAACTCACTGCATGCACCTCGGAGAGATGCAATTTTCTAAAAAGATCTTAAATACCTCGTCCTGATCAAGCCTCCCAGGCCAAGCACTTGCCGCTGCTTGCCCCCAGCACCACCCGACGCTCGAATCGCATCTTGATCAGGACCAATGACAGTGCGCCTAGCTAACCTCAGAGCTCGCAACTCAGGGCAAGGCCCGACACTTTATTAAACGAGTCGCCGTCCCCATCGTCATCGACACCCACCCGCTTCACTTCAGCGACCCCCTTATCCCCTTTTTTCCATTTTCTCATCCTGCCCCCACTCCGCAAAGATGTTTGCCTTCGTTTCATCATTCACCGCCTTCCGCCCGTCCTTCAGTGCCGCGGCTCTATCTGCTCCAAGCACGTCGGCCCGCCCGGCTGTGACGATGGTTGCCAGCAGGGCCATCCCGTTCCTCGAGGCCCCCTCTAAGCTCGACGGCTCCCGCATCGGCGACAGCGGCTTTGACCCGCTCTACCTCTCTGACTACCTCGACCAGGATTATGCCGCCGCCGGTGAATTGAAGAACGGGCGAGTTGCCATGCTCGCCACAGTCGGTATGCTAGTACAGGAGTTCGTGCACCTCCCAAACCCCATGTTCGCCGAGGCCAACCCCATCAAGGCTATCTATGCCGTGCCCGTTGAAGGCTGGGTTCAGATTCTTGTGGCTATCACTATCATTGAGTTGGCTACTTTCAAGAAGACCTACGAGAGTGGTGCCGACCTCGGCTTCGACCCTCTCGGGATGGGCTCCAAGGGCAACATGGAGGAACTCAAGCTGAAGGAACTGAAGAATGGTCGTTTGGCCATGCTCGCAAGTATTGGTTTTATCTTCCAAACCATCACTACTGGCAAGCCCATCATCGCTCAGCTCACTACCCTAGGACAGTGAGCAATATTTCGCATCCTCACTGCTGCGGTACCATGCCTTCCCCAGCTTGACAGTCCATGTCATTGGGTGTGTGACACATTAGACCAAACCTGCCCTTCTCGTTTTCGCCCCGCGAAATAAGCTCTGTGTGAGGAGCGCCTACTGTACTTACGAACTCATAAAATTTTTTCCACGCTATGTTCACCGCTTTGAGAATCTCGCACACTAGCATTCGGGCCTAATTAATCATGGTTTCTTTACCCACGCAGGGACTTGTACTTTCTTGCCTCCCCGCGCAGCTCTCGTGATGGTTGCCCGGGTCCATTTCTTGGCTGTCGACTTGTTCTTTAACTCGGCCAGTTGATGCGTGAGCGAAACGTCCCTCATGATGGCGTCAACAGACTTGCGGCTCTTTTGTGTATCAAACGTGAGCTCGTTAGGGTGGTGCAGCTTGACGTAATCTTTCAGTTCATTGAGCATCTTTCGCAGACTGGCAGCCCACGCGCGATGAAGACGCGACACGTAAGTATCCTGCGACCCAAAATGCTTTTCGATGCGATCGATGTACAACACTGTCACCGACTCGACATCAATGATGTACCCGACCGGCGACATCTTCTGTGTTGTCGCTGTGCACCATTGCATTGCGTTCAAAAACTCGCGCAAGGTCACGCAGTGCTGCGCATACTTATCCTCTTTCGGCACTTTGTCTAGTAGGGCAACCAAAGGAGTAAGCTCATGTTGCACAGACATGAGCAGCATCCTCAACGCTGCATCCGTATCCTTGTGCGGCCTGCGGCGATTGGACGCCGTTTCAATAACCTTTGCCATCTCTTCGTATGCGCCTATGAGACGCGGGAAGACTGCCTTGAGTACGCCTCCAAGCTCTCCGGAAATAACAGAAAACTCAGTCAAGCCGCTATGCATGAGGCGATAAAAGTCTCCAATTGGATGCGAATCCTTGCGCAGATTCCGTTGGGCGCGTCTGTATCCCGCCGGCGTAGCACCCGCGGCGTAGTTCCACCGCAAACCTGCCGGATGCTCTTTTTCGACGTACTTCAGCAAGGCGTCCATGACAGCGTTGAGGGACTCTGCAAAGTCGCTATGAATGGGGTTGCAGCCGAGATCAATATAGCGTGATAGAATATCCTCTGCTAGCGTGTTGACAATAGATTTGTAGTCGCGCGCATGCTTCAAGGCGGCCGGCGCAACGATCCAGCCCAGGGCGGCCGAGGCATCTGACAAAGCTATGGCATGATTATGCAATGCATTTCGAATGTCAATGTCGTACTTGAGCTCAGCAGCATCCGCGCTTGCATCGACAAGTTCCGCGCACTCCTTTTTCAAAATGGCAGGGTTGGCAGGTTTGGCCATGCGCGAGGCCTTGGAGATAACTTGTGCCTCTGCGAGGACGCTCTTCTCGAACAGGGTAGTCTGTTCCAGGATTGTAGCGGCAGCGTCTCCAAACTCGGCACCCAATTTTCCAATCTCCGTGGCGGCGTTCTTGAGCTGCTGCAAAGGCTTTGCCATCTGTCTCTGAAAGACCTCGCCCGGATCGTAGTCGACGAGCTGGGCCTGGATGTGCGAGCGGCCTGCGGTGACGACTTTTGGCAAGGCGTCTGCGATGTTCTTGATGCGCACAATGGTGGAGTCAATGGCGTTGTACAAGGCGCGGTCGTTGCGGAAGACGCGCGGCGAGGCGAGGGGCGGAAGGGCTGCTCCGCCTAGACGATGGTTGACGGCGAAGAGCTCGAGGGCGCGGACTTTGCGCTCTACGGCTTCCAGAGAGGCTTCCGCGTCGACGGGGGCTGCTAGAGCCATGGTGGTGAGTGAGGGTTGTTAGATGCAGGTGGGAATGGGGAGTTAGTTGATGGAGTTAGAACACTGTAGCATGACGATCGGGCGAGGGAGGAGAGGGTTTGGTGTTCTGAGTTTTAGAGCATTGGAAACAGGGACGGAAGAGAGGAGCGTGGGACAACAAGCAGACGAAGCGAAACCGACCTTTGTACAGTATCCCTGCACTTCACAAATGTGCTGTAAGTTTCGCTCTGGCACGTGAGTGTCCACATTGCTGTGCTTTGCGAATGCCACGATATGTAATCAGACTCATCGCCCAAAAACAATGAAGAGATGCACGAAACGTGGCACGAAACGTGGACGACGTGTCACGAGCGAAGCAGATTTTTCTACCCGAGTCGGCATGTCGCGAGCTGCCCCTGGACCAGTGATCCGAACAGCGTAATCTACCCAAGGGTGCCGTATGCCGACATCCTCTACTGCTCCTTCCTATCTCTCTCTTCAAACGCCAGTTCACCTCTCCAACTTGCGCGCTCCTGTCACTGCCACCGAGAAATGTCCTTCGCCCTGCGCCGGGTCTCGCAGCGTTTTCTCCCGGCCTTCCAGCTCCCTCTCGTCCTCTCTCCAACCACGTCTCCCTACAACCCGCGCTTCCGCATCGCCCTAATGTCGCGCCCTTCCGCCCCCGTCTCCGTCCCCCATCACCATGCCACCGCGTCGGCCTCGCTAGCAACGCCGACAGATCTGCCTCCCTCCTTCGCCGGTGAGAACCCTGTCTTTGCACAAACAATGCTGCGTATCGTCAACCCAACTGCCTCGCGCGCCTTCTACGAGCACGCCCTGGGAATGACCTATCTCACCCGTCTCGACTTTCCGGATCTCCAGTTTTCGCTCTTTTTCTACGCCTACACCGATGACGACGTTCCGGACCAAGCCGATCCGCAGCCAAAACGCGCTCAGTGGCTCTGGGGAAGGCCCTACCCCACAATAGAGCTCACGTGGAATTGGCCGAGAGAGACTTATGATGAGAGCGTGCAGGCAGCGAGCGAGAATGATAAAGGGGATGAAGTGTATGTCAATGGAAATCAAGACCCAAAGGGCTTTGGCCACGTCGGAGTGATCGTGTCCAACCTACCAGGCGTCATGGACATGCTGGAGAAGAAGGGCGTTGCGGTCGTGCAGGGCGCGTCTACGGACGGGAAGGATGGCACGGCCGTCGTCGCAGACCCCGATGGATATTTGATACAGCTGACAGAGAGAGGGCACACGCCAGGCGACGGCGGCGTGGACATGGTCAAGACGGACCCGGTCTACGGCAGCGTGATGCTCCGCGTGAAGGATCCGCGCGACGCGATGCGGTTCTTCTCCAGGCTCGGCTTCCGCTGCATCGCGCGGCTGGACCACGAGGACGACAAATGCACGGAGTACTTCCTGGCCTATTCTTGGGCGAGCGAGGTAGAGGATAGCGTGGCGGAAGCGGAGAAGGCGGAGTGGGTGCATGCGCGGAGGGAGTGCAAGATCTTGCTCAAGCATCACTGGGGCACGGAGAATGAGAGCGAGCAAATGTACGCGCACGGGAACGCAAAGCCGCATCGCGGGTTTGGGCATCTCGGCATCATCGTAGATGACATTTATGGGACAACTCAGGCAATGGAGAAGGAGGGGTATAAGATCGTGAGGCAGGCGGGGCCGTTCAGGGATGCGGGCGAGCTTTCATTCGTGGCGGAGCCTTCGACGGGGTACTGGGTAGAGATTATTAAGAGGAGTGGCGAGGCGGGCGACGTGCCGTATGAGAAGCCGTTCGGGATCGGTGGGTAGGTGGTGGAGGGGTGGTGTTGGCGTAGTGACGATGTGTTAGTGCAGCGAAGCATACTGTCGATGTAGGGAGGGGTGGTGTTAGCGTAGTGACGATGTGTTAGTGCAGCGAAGCATACTGTCGATGTAGGGAGGGGATGTAAAGAAGGGCTCTTTTTGGATATGACGTATGTTTCGCAGGCGTGGATTTGTTTGATGTATTGTAGCACTAGCAGTATCCGGAATAAGGTACAGTATCGAGTTGTTGAGATTGTGCCCCGATGGCATGGGCAGGCGATGCACGCGGGACATGCAGGCGTACAGTACTCAAGAATAGATTGTCCAGAATTGACCCTTCTCCAGAATTAGACCAGTGAGAACGGTACCCTTGGTACAGTATGTTTCGCAGGCGTGGATTGCCTGTGTTGAGATTGTGCGGCGATAGGATGTGGGATCAGGTGTTTGTGATGTCGCGCATGCAATGGAAATGGCACGACAGCGGAGCGGGGCAGATGCGCGGTCACATCGCGGTGGAAGATGCGCAGTTTGAGAGTTGAAGCTCCACTCCGCTAATTTCGTGCCGAGATTAACCGCCGGCATGATAGAGTTGGATAGATTACAGTAGGCCCGTCCTAAATGGGGGTACCAAAGGCCGCTGCACTTGAAAATAGCAGGCTGGTCAGTTAAACCAGCACCTTTACAAGGTCATTGCAGCTATAGCATGGCTACTGTAGCCACACTAATCTACTTGTCACATAATGTACACGGTACCCAGGGTACTGTACACAGCACGCGCAAACGTGCATATGCAACCTCCACCCCTTCGCCAGGCGCCCCTTCGCCAGGCGCCCCTCCGCCAAGCGCCCCTCCGCCAAGCGCCCCTCTGCCACCAGAGCTGCCCAAAAAAATCACACCCTACCCGGGCGAAAGGACACCTGTCTAGCAAAGTATGACACACCCTGCGTCGGTTGGTGAAAATCCAGCAACACCTCAACAGCCCCGCGCAACAGCTCCCGAGCGCCTCGTGTCTCGTACCGTCTCGCAATCACTGCGGCCAAGGTGCAGCCAAGGTGCGGCCAAGGTGCGTGGGTGGACAGTGAGCCCGAGCCCGCGACCGTTTCATACGCCGGTGCATACCTCGACACTTGCGCGAGCACTCCAATCTGTATGCATCGTATCTCTCCGCACGTGCTCATCGACGAGGTACGCGGGCTTGCGGAAGAGTATGGCGCGCCTAGGTTGCAGGGCGAGGGGCCGCCTGCGATACTGTAGAATAGGCTCGCTTTTGCGCCTTCACGGTAGATGCTTGGTGTCTTTCCTTACTATATGTGCAGTTGTAGAAAAAGGTCCGACACGGACCGCGAGTGCGGTACCGAGATGAGCGTGAAGCGACGGATTGCAGCGGCGCGAGATCAGCTTTCTCTACAGGCGCCGCGCAGAGACGTAAAAGCGAAGCAGGCAGGGCACAGACAGGGCACAGGCAGGGCACAGGCAGGGCACAGGCAGGGCACAGGCAGGGCTTAGACAGGGCTTAGACATGGCCAACGTCAACAGCAAATAGTCTGACACAGCGGGCACGTGGGTCTTCCTCTCCTTAGCCAAGGGTCGATGCACCCTGTGTGGAAAACATGTTCGCAGCCGAGGACGCGGACCCTGTTATCGGTCTCATAGCCGTCCAAGCAAATAGCACACGTATCCTGTCCAAAAGCGAGCTTGTCGATGCCGTCCTCCGGGCAGAGGGACCTGACGGGGAGGGCGTTAATCCTGAGGTCTGTGGCGCCACTTGCAAACAACAGTCTGCGAATGAAATCCACACACGAGCGGTGACCGTGGTCGGACGGGCCGAGCGGGACGATGGAGGTGGACATCATGGTGGTAGTGGTGGTGGTGAGCGTGGTGAAGGGCTGCGCCGAACCTGGGGCTGAGGCGGTGATGGTGGTCACCGTAGTGGTGGTAGACGTTTGAGTTGGTTGAGAGGCGAGACCAGGGGCCAGGTCAAGCACTGCGTTGAAGGCGCCACGGATGAGGGCGAGTAGGTCATGCACGGGTCGGGGCGGGGGGTAGGCTTCGGCGGGAGAGGGGGATGTGGTTGTTGTGGTCGTCGTCGCTTGGGGAGGCGGGGGATGGAAACTGGGAATTGGGTCGGCAAAGTCCATTTGAGACATGGTGGGGAGAAGCGCACGGGCGCGTTGCCAATGACCGCGAGGGTAACGAAGGAGAGGGGGGGCGTGTTGTCGCCGGTGGGTCGGCGATGTGAATGGGTGTGAGGGGGAAGGGAGAGAGAGGGAGAGGGAGAGGGCAGGGATGCGATGAGATGAGATGGATTGCAAGGAGAGGGGGGGGGGGGGGGGGGGGGGGAAAAACAGCCCATTAAAAAAGGGGAG